TTGACGAAGATTCGTGGCAAATCTTGGTATTGGAGATTACCTTCGATGGTATGATTTTCAATCCACTTTACTGTACTTTACTTATGCTTTGACGTCTCGTGTGAAATGAGTTTATTTCCGCTCACGGCGCACTCTTGTATTTAGGCACCTTTAGGTTTAAATTTATTCATTTTTTTTTCCACATAATCAACTCTATGGCTTCGTCACCTTCCAGGTGTCGGCCAACACAGCTCGATTCGGAGTCCTAGTGGACATTCCGGGTCGAGGTGTGTCATGTCAGCCTTGCATCATCAGCTTGCCTCAGGCTTTTGGGATGTGGATTCCTGCCTGGCCTGTCCAACGGGCCTCCCCAGAGCCCAATCGCCCACATGGGCTGGAGCAAGGGAGGTAGGCTATTGGGTTATTTTGGTCGCCTGTCCACCTGGAGTTGCTCTTATAGAAAAAAATTGGGTGTTTTTGAAAAACTTTAGGAATTTTTTAGTAATTTTTTGGATGTTTTATAGTTAAAATAATCTTGGCCGTTGTTTTTTTAAAATTAGTACTGTTGGAAAATTAAGATTGTACCACGTGGCAGTTGATCAGATTGCACAAATTTATTTATTGTTGGAAACCAACGCCAGATTAAAGGGCTGTAGGAAATCCAACGGCTCCAGTAGATCAAGAAAGAGTTGTTTGGCTTTATGAGGCAGCACGTTGGGGGAGGGGGCGCTGTTGTATGTTCCTAAGGTCGCTCTAACGTTGTAGATGCAATTTGGGCTCAAGCCCCGACTTCATAAGGCAGGGCAACCCAACGAGCTCTTCCATTCCACCCAATCACCTCTAACTTTTTCCACCGCTAGAGCACATTTTTTGGCCAAGGGCAGTTCAACCCGGGCAATTGGGTGATTGTTGGAGATACTCTTATAGAATTTTAATTCATGATATTAAATTCAAGTGAAATTTTGCAAAAATAATATTGCAGTGAGAACATATATGGTTAATGGTAAGAAATTTTGAATCATGTTATTACATTGCAAGAGAACTAAACAAGTGGTTAGCGTCGTATTGCCTTAAATTGATTAGTACATTTGATATTCCTACTTAAACGACCAAAACTTTTGACTTATACTCATCGCGCTCCAAAATCTAAGTCGAAGATAGACAAAGTTTACAACCCTAAAACCATCTCCAATCCTGACCTAAAACCTAAAAATATTGAGCCCAGAAAATTTAGGTTTTAGCCCAGAAACAACTTTTCTACTCCAACCCTTTTGGCCCAAAATTTTAGCCCCAGATTATTAAAAAATGAATTAAGGCTAATTTTTTTTTTAAATTAACTTTAAAAAAAATAAAATTATGTAGACTATCCTAAATTAATTTTATGAACATTTTAACCTAAAAATATTTAAATTCCGATAAATTTTGAAAAATCACTAAATCAATACATGAAAATCATGATAAACCACATAAACTTAAAAAAAAAATTATTCTAGCCGTTGGAAAAAAATATTTAAATTCCGATAAATTTTATAATTATTCTAGCCATTGGATTTACATTTGGACCGTTAGATTTTTTTTTTACCGTTAGATTTGATTATATTCGATTTAAGCCGTTGGATTCAATAAATATATAAATATAAAACAAACAAAAAAATTGAATGTGGACCGTTGGATTAACCAACGGTCCAATTACCACCACCACCCGATGAAGAAAAGTAGTTGTTGGCTACAGGACAAGACCCACTTTTCACTCTCATCCGTGGGTCCCAGCACCTTTTGTGGGCTAAATTTGTGACCTATATTTGCCTTCATTTTAAGTTTTAGGTTTTAGGTTTGGTTTAGGTTTTGGGTTGGAGTGGATTTAGGGGGGAAAAAAAAGGAAAATTTAGGTTATAAGTCACCATTGGAGATGGTCTAATAGTCAAAATGGATAATGTTAGGTAGGGCTGGAAAAAAATCCCAAAAATACCAAACCGAACTGAAAAATTCCCGAAACCAAACCGAAAAATTCCCAAACCGAAGTTCCCGAAAATTTCGGTATGGGAATCGGTCTCAAGTTTTTGGGATTTCTGTATTCCCAAACCAAACCGAAAAAAAAAAAAAAAAATTAATTTTTAAATATATATTTAGAATTTTAATAACCATTGGATTATGTTGAGATTTAATCTCAACCGTTGCATATAAATCAAAGTTATCCGTGTGTGTGTTTGACTCTCTATCTCTCTCGGTCTCTCGACTCGACATTCACTCACGCACACACACGGACCTCGGTCCTTACTATCTCGCCCACCTTTTCTCTAGATGCTTCCCCCACCGTTTCACTCTAGACCCGCCTTTTCTCTGCTTGACTCCTGCTTTCCCCGTTTTCCTCCTCGCCTCACTCTTCTCTGCACCAAGCAGCTCGATTTAGGGTTTCACCATTTCTCTTCGAATCAAGGTCTCTATTTCTCTCCGTATTTTGCCAATCTAGGTTTCCCTCTCTCTGTGGAAAAACCCTAGATCTCGCCACTGCCGGAGATTCGAAGCTCGGCACTTCGAGGTTCAATCCGCCTTACCGATCGCCTCCTCTCGGCGCCTCCACGGAACAACCTGCAACACCAGTCGACATTTCAGAGCTTGCGTCTTGAACTCTCTTTCTCACGGAACCATCGCCACCACCATCTTTTGGGCTCGAATTTTGTGGGTTCTGAAGAGCAGCAGCGACATGCAAATATGTGGTACCCTTTTCTTCTTTCTGTATATTTTTTTTGTTTAATTTTGTATTTTTTATTACATGCATGGTGGATTTATCGTTGGTAACTATTAAATCGCTTTTGAATTGTGTTTAATTTGGATTTTTGTGTTTTGAATTTTGAATTTGCAGCCTGATCTTCCACTGGAGCATCCAAATTTTGCATTTGTGTATCTAATGACAAAAACCTTTACAAATTCAAAATTTGAAACCAATATACCACCGTCCATATACTTGCAACCCAAATATTGTTAAAAACGAAGAAACAATGTAAAAAATCCAAATTTTACATTTGGTTATAGCTTTTGTGTAAATGGAGCTTCTACTGAGCTCTTAGTTCTGGGTACGTCTTTGTTTTCATAATCCTTTAGAGGTTTTGGAATTTTGAGATTTTCTTCGTGGATTTTGTTAATTGGCTTGCTTTGTTGTGAATTTTCTGTTTTATTATATTTTATTTATTTATTTATTTTTAATCTTTAACTGATAATATGACATGTCTTTCAATTTCTAGCTGTTGATTTATGTTGTGATCTTTTGGTGATTAATCGGGTAATGATTTGCATATGATTATTTATAGAATATTCATAATTATTTCACAAGATTTGTGCTTGCACACATATGCTATTAGGAGAAATTAAATAGGCAGATCACATAGCTATTGTGCATAGATTCACATTGCAAACTGCACAGATTGGGCCACAAATTGTGCACAGATTGCAGATTGCAGATTTTAGTCCAACAAGAGCTTGGGCCACAGATTGGCAGCCTGCCCAAAAGCCCAAATTTTCAATATAAAAGGTTGAATTTTAGCCCAAAAGCCCAAAACCATTTCGGGATTCCCGATTTGTCCCGAAATCCCGAAACTATTTCGGGATTCCAAAAAATTGGGATTCCCGAAAATTTGGTTTGGGATCGGTATTGAAATTGGGATTCCCGAAAATTTCGGTTTAGGAATCGGGACAAGGGTTTTGGTATGGGATCCCATACCGAACCACCCCTAATGTTAGGACACCGTATTTATGTGTTCTATATCGTATCATGTTTTTAACAGAAGTAAAACCTACTTGTATTGATGAACTTCTACATCTATTAGAGAAATGATATGATAGATATACATAAATGTGGTCTCCCTAACATCATTCAATCGATCATAGTAATATTATAATACATAAGCGTAAGCGGTGAGAGTGCGGAGAATAGGATCTTTGATTTATACAAGTCTAAGTTCAAAACCCTCCACTGGCCCTAAAAGAAAAAGAACTTGTACCAGAGCACAACATACATTGCGCTTAAAAAGTTTGTTTTGTATCATTTCAACAAGTAGAATTGAGCCGTTGGTTTATGTGGTTTTGTTTGCAACAACAAAAACAAAGGCCCTATAATTTGTTATCACGATACGAATCTATGCAGTATCACATGAACCCAAATTAGTTGGAAATTCTTGTCAAATTGCACATTGTTGTTTTGTGTCTAAATCTCCCGTTAATCCCCGGTTTTTGGTGCATTACTGATGCAGCATCAGCAATCAGAACATTGTTTTAGGCTTCATCATCTGTAATATATTGCGGATTCTTTGAACCTGTTAAATTATTCGGACTCGGTCTTGCAGTTTTGCTACTCGGAAATTAATCTTGGATTTGGTCAGGTTTTCGAATAAAATACGAATTCAGTCAATGTTAATCAAGAAAAACGTCGCTTTGAGTGCGATTGAGGGTTAAGGCACTTGTCTTTACCTAATGGGATTGAATCAGTCAAGATGTTCAAAACTCTCATTTGTTTATGGTCAATGACTAGGTCAGATTATTTTTCACTTCATCCTTTTCATATGGTAATTGTTATATTCTTTCGCATAATTGGTGATTTATTAGGTAATGCAAGCAGTGACGGATTAAGAAATTTTTAGCAAACATTTATGAAATGGTGTAAATGTTTATGAAACGGAATCGGCTTTAGAGTCATATGCAACATCTCATGGGAAACTTAGATGTGAATGGCTATTTGATTTCAGAAGAAAAGAAAAGAAAAAATATTTATTTCTGCAGAATATATGTTTCCAAATAGGGTTTACTCTTCCAACTAATTGACCAGATAAAACCCTTAAATATTACAATGAAAGTCAGACAAGAAATTAGGTGATTTCTGGGTTGTATCATATTATTTCAACTCTTGGCTGATCTGTAGATACAAACATTTCTTCCGTTTAATTAAATAATGCAATATTCAAAAGAATATGATTACCATAAAACTATGTTTTTTGTCACAGAAAGAGACTCGATCATGTCAAAAGAGAGAAAGCTCCATCTCTCTCTATCTCTCTTTGTCTGAAAACAAGAATGAAGCTTTAGCAATGGAGGACAGAAAAGCTAAGATTGTAGCTGCAACGTCGATCATCACGCTCGTTATCTTCATAATCGTTGCACGAATCTCTCTCAAACTTTCCCCAACTTTCTTTCTCATTTGTGGGGCAGGTGTTGCTGTGATCCTTGCTGTGTTTGTATGGCTAGTGATCAGACATCAGTACAATTTCCGGAGAAAGATTTTGGAATCAAAACACGCGTCAGAAGGCCGCGAGCTGCGCGTGGAGTATAGCTTTCTTCGAAAAGTTGCAGGGGTTCCTACGAAGTTTAGGTACAAGGAGCTAGAGGATGCAACAGATCATTTCGAGACACTGGTTGGGAAAGGGGCTTCAGCTTCTGTTTACAAGGGGATTCTAAGTGATGGGACTCAAGTGGCAGTGAAAAAGCTCGATGCAGAGGAGCGCGGCGAGAGGGAATTCAAGTCAGAAGTTGCGGCAATTGCAAGCCTGCAACATATCAATCTTGTGCGCCTTCTCGGGTATTGTTGTGTTCCTGCAGGACCGCGTTTCTTGGTTTATGATTTCATTCCAAATGGATCGCTGGATTTGTGGATTTTCTCTCAAAAGGGAAGGCATATTCGGCGTGGGGGGTGCTTGCCTTGGGACTCAAGGTACAGGGTTGCAGTTGATGTTGCTAAAGCGCTTTCTTACCTGCATCATGATTGCAGGTCAAGGATTTTGCACCTTGATGTGAAGCCAGAGAACATACTTTTGGATGATAATTACAGAGCAATTGTGGTGGATTTTGGCCTTTCAAAACTAATGGGGAAAGACGAGAGTAGAGTTATGACCACGATTCGGGGGACTAGAGGCTACTTAGCTCCTGAGTGGCTCTTGGAGCATGGAATTTCTGAAAAAACGGATGTGTACAGTTATGGAATGGTGCTTCTTGAGATGATCGGAGGGCGGAGAACGTTAGCTTTGTCGAAAATGGCAAAGCCAACGACAAGTCCCACAGGAAAAGGGAGTATTTTCCCCAAATTGTTATTGAAAAAATGAGAGAAGGCAAGCTTATGGAAGTTGTTGATCAAAGGCTAATAGAAAGCGGAGGCATTGATGAAAGGGAGGTAAAAAGACTTGTTCATATAGCTTTGTGGTGCATACAAGAGAGGGCTAGGCTTAGGCCTACCATGTCACATGTGGTGGAAATGCTCGAGGGCCGGACGCCCGTGGAGGAGCCTCCCGACACCCAAATGGTGGTTGTCGATTTTTCGGCAATGGATGAAGAGGCGGCGAACGGCAATAGGATGCCAAAGATTGGTGGTGCCGCCTTGGCAACACAAATAGGGAGCAATGATGCATCCACATCAACATGGTCATATGAAAATGCAATGTCCATGATAGCCCCAAGATAGGTCCATAGACATGATTGATTAGTTGCTTCTTAATTTATAGATATTTTAGTCTAAACAATGCATTTTTTAGGTTCACCAATTTTTTCTTCGTGGTAAATTTTATGCTCCTTTATATATATATATATATATATGAACATCTTTTAATCTTCCTGTTACTCTTAATTATTTGTGTTATACACTTGTGTATTAAACTATCGATAAAGAAATATTCAAATTCATTTTGTATTGTCCTTAAAAGTATTCACAAATCACAATTCCCCTCTCCCTTCGACATGTAACTCACCTTCAAAATTAAGTTCTTTGTTCCACTTTACTGTATATTATTTAATGTATATCGTCAAGTCTGTTGAACTCTATAATTAAGTCACATAATGGGCCAACATAATAAATGCAGTATCGAACAAGTAATTAACAAGAGTTGAAGCTAACTGTTCATTCATAACACAGAAAAATATCATTAGACGATTATATCTGGAGGAGAAAACATGATTGTATGACTGCGATAGGACCAATGTCCAGTATCTCAAGTGTTCATGTGTATTACAGAGCATTTTTGCTCACCATTATATTTTGATGTATGCTTATCATACAACTAATTATTTGCCGTATATTCTTTTACGTAACTCTAATTAACTTACATTTAAATGTTACTTTTTAAATTTAAAAAAAAATTAATATAGATTGAATGAAAGAACACATGACAACATGACAGATGACCAAAGTTTAGGACGGTGAGCAAAAGTGCTTTCATATATTACTGATTCTGGAATTTGTCCTTCACCCTTCATACTTCACAGACACGTGGCACACATTGATGGTGCTACCAAGATCGACGGATGAGAATCCTCAGCACTTGTAAGCGCTTCAATTGAAAACGGCACTCTGAATTGCTAAGGCAGAACATAAAACGACAGAAACGTGAGGTGAACTAAATATTTGGGGGGAGAAGGGAGAGGGGAAAGGAGACAGCGTCCAAGGCTTGACTGAGGTATATACTCTGTATCAATGGCGTAAAACCCTAAAACCCAATTTTATTTCCTGTTCAATTTTATCTGATTTATTTTTTCAATTTGCTTAACATAATTTTAAAAATTCAATCTTTATGCTTCTATATCAGTTTCTGTTTTGCTGTTGTAAGAACCAAGCTTTTAATTTTTGAGTTCTGGGTTTTTTTTTTTTAATTTTTTTTTTAAATTGTGTTGTTCGATTTATGGTAGATTGCAAATTTTTGTAATGATTTTGGTTTTTCTGTTTTGGGTTTTTTTTTAATAAAATGTTTGGTTTCTGGATTATGGGGTGTTAAGGAACAGTGTTAAAGATTGCAAATTTTCTTGTTATTTTCGCCCAAATGGTTGAAAAGAGTGATTGAAGCAGCCTATCGTGCATGTGTATCTGTTTGGCATTTGGGAAGACCAAAACTCCTAATGCAGAACCTGAGTTGCTATGGTTCGAATGCGTTTGTGTTAGTGTTGTTCGGGTTAGATTAAGGTTATTCACGTTCTTGATATGATGAGGAAGATGCTGTCCGATTGGTCTGGGGAGGGAAGTTAGCCTTAGCCTCGTCTGGCCCTGCTTCTACTTACAATCAAAAGCCTTGCCACGAGTGAGAAACCAGTGGCGAATCTAGGGACAGATGGAAATCTATGTGAGCTGACAGCAGTCAAAATTGTATTTCCTGCAGCCAGAGTTTAGGAAGTAGTTACATATTGACCTCACTAGTTTTGTAATGATCATGTACTGAAGGCTAAATGTTTGCTAGCATTGTCAAAGTAATTTTATGCAACTGCTTGTTTGAGCTTTCGGAGGTTACTCCAACATGTTAACTATGTGTACTTTATTTGTTTTAACATTATGGTTTTGAAGTTGTAAAGCTTGTATGCATTTTCTGGTGTTTCTTCATTGCAGGATCTGTGCTCTGTCCACTTGCTGCAGAGGAGTTTGGTCTGTGGTATTTACTTGAGGGACCTAATATGAGCTTTACTGGTCCATCTGTTGGTTCTGGTTAGTTTGTTTGCCTATCTTTGCTTTGCTATTATCTTGTAAAGAAGTTTTGATACTGATTGCCATATCCATGAGTGGTGACTGAGTCATGTCATTTTGTGTTTGTGTCAAAGGACAATTAACCTTAACCCTACCTAATTAATTGATCGTGTCAAACAACTTGACACAAACAGACCTGTCTACTAATGACGCTGTGTTCAAGTCGACTCGTATATTTTATGAGCTAGAAGCATATGACTAGGATCCCATTTGTTCTTAAACCAAACTATTACGAACATTAATATCCACTATCTAAGAGCTAGCAAAAATAAGAAAACATATCCTATACTTTTATAAGAATTTGTAAAAAATCTAGTAAAAAAACGAAGAGATCACTCATGCTTTTATGGTTCTTCCATTTTCCTTGTTGAAGATGTTGGGCTATCTTTCATATTTATCAGTTTGGCTGAGGTTCATTGGTTCTGTTATTTACACCTTTCTCATTAAATTTGGTTGTAACATGATTTCAGGTGGTAGAACTGCTAGGAGGGCGTTTGAGTTTGGAAGAACCTATGTAGTCAGACCTAAAGGCAAACACCAGGCCACTGTAGTTTGGCTACATGGCCTCGGCGATAATGGTTCAAGGTGATACTTTGGCCCCATTGCTCATGTTACCAATTTTCTGAAGGTTGCACAGTAATTAAAAAACTGAGGAAGTGTTTCATATAAATGACTTTTTCTTAATTTCTAAGTTACTTCGTAAAAGGGAAAAGTAAATTTTTTTTTTATGTGAATAAAACTAGAGAATCATGTGATCTATAGAAATCCTTTTTTCTTTATATGTATGCACTTGAAGTCTTAAATTTTTGTTTAAGATTTATATTTTTCTGTCTGACAGCTGGTCCCAGCTCTTGGAATCCCTCCCTCTTCCAAATGTAAGAATAAATACATTCAAACTAATGGAAATTGAATTTTCATAATTTTCTGTAATGACCTGTGGTGAAATTTATGTGATGCAGATTAAGTGGATCTGTCCAACTGCTCCTACTCAGCCAATTTCAATTTTTGGTGGCTTTCCTTCCACTGCTTGTAAGTTTTTTCCATTAATAATCCACACGCTAATGTATGTTCAGCAGTTGAGCCGATTTTAGTGACAGAAAAAGAAAATGTCATTTGGTGTATTGGATACTAGAATCGAACGTCATAAGCTCTCCTAAAGTGCTTATGTGATATGAACAGGGTTTGATGTTGGAGAACTTTCAGAAGATGCTCCGGATGATGTAGAGGGTTTGGATGCTTCTGCAGCACATGTTGCAAATTTGTTATCGACTGAGCCTGATGACAGTATGTCTCCTCTTGCTCGATTTTAGCATCTGATGAACTCCAAATGCTGCTATCATTTGTTTGAATTGTTTCTGCGTGGATACTTTGATTTTATTGCCCCTACTGATCGATGAGATGTTTTGAAAAGACAAATTCAAATAATTTACCCTTCTTCTCTGTGGGGCCAATATTTTATGTTAGGGGAGCCTCTGTATGAACTTTTAAATTATGGTATCTTTTTTTCAAAGTAAAATCTATGCAGGATGCCTCTTCCACAAAACTTTGTTAATGCCATGATTCTAATACCACGTACACTTTGAACTTTAAACTGTAGTTTTACCTTTGGTGAACTAAATGGATTTCAATATCATTGCATCGAGTTTTTTCTGTTACAGTTAAACTAGGCATTGGAGGTTTTAGTATGGGTGCAGCTACTGCACTATACTCAGCCACCTGCTTCTCTACAAGAAAATATGGGAATGGTAATCAATACCCATGCAATCTGAGTGCCGTTGTTGGACTAAGCGGATGGCTTCCATGTTCCAAGTTTGGCCTCTTACACTCTCCTCATCTCGACCGAATTCTTTTGCGGTATATTTAAGTGCCTATAGTTACAATTCCCATTCTCTTGCAGGACCTTGAGTAAGAAGTTAGAAGTAGATGAAGCTGCAAGGCGTGCTGCCTCCATTCCGCTTTTGTTATGTCATGGGAAAAGTATGCACTATTATCTCTCGTATAAAAAAAAAATTGGTTTTATTTGTCTCTTGAATTTGTCTTCATCGAAGAAAAGGTTTTGTGCATCCTTGTCTCTAGCATCTTCTTGCGTAGGTGCTCCGAATTTTAAATTCTAAGCCGGGCCTAGTTCATAATGCTGTGGATGTGATTTATTGCAGGTGATGATGTGGTTCCTTACAAGTTTGGTGAGAAATCGTCGCAGACCTTAAGTTCAACTGGCTTTCAGAATGTGACATTCAAATCCTACAACGGGTGTGTGATTCTTAGATTATGTCGAAAACTTGTTGCATAGAAATTTATTAACACTATGAAATACAAGAATGATTTGTTTGAGTATGCAGGCTTGGTCATTATACCATTCCGGAAGAGATGGACGAGGTTTGTGCTTGGCTAAGATCAAAGTTGGGGCTTGACGGGACTTCTTCATAGAACTCCCGTGAAACTCTCGAGCAACGGCAAATGAAGAAGAAGCACAGAACATGTAGGAAACAATAATTTTAAAGTGTTCAGTACGACCTTTATGTCCTTTATGACCTGTTATTATTTGGCTGGTGGCACTATTTAAATCGATATTCGTATGTAATAACTGGCATTCATTATTTGAATTGTGAACATGTCGCTTGGAAGTAAACAGTTCTCCAACATGGTACCTTTGTTTTCGTTGTCTCCTTTTAATTGCCCGAGATTGCAGTTTCCTGTCGAGTTATTTTTGCGTATGTGTCAAATTACAGAAGAGATTAAACATGAACCTGGCGGATAAATACTCTTGCGAGACAAAATGAAACAATTTACAGCACCATTAAAACATTTGAAAAAATTAGAAAAATAAATAGAATCAACGACTGAAACACAGTCGAATTCGTTTCCAATTGCAAAAAGAGCTCCCTTACAAAGCCCTCATGCACAAATCACAAATTACACCAAACTATGAGCTAATTTCGGATTCCTCAGTTGAAAAAATGAAATGAAAAAGCCAAAAAATAGTATAAAAACACGCGTCGGTTTAACGCTTGTGCACACAGACAATGAGTACCAATTCGGGCTTTCTTTCGGAAAACAGGAGCATGTAATTTCCTTCCAAGTAAGCCATCCGTAACAAAGACAGGCACAAGCATAACCGGCCTAACCGCCCTTTTTCCGAAGGGCGATTCCTTCTTCTATTTCCACAAGTTGAGGGTTTGTTTCACTTTTGAGCCTCTTTAACGAAAGTTACATCTCCACTTCCCGCCACCGGTGAAAGTGAAGCCAGTGGGGACAGCAGGCGCTTTTCTTGATCATCATCAACTTCCGCTGACTCACGAGGCGTTGTGATTGATAGGGTTTCAGTACCATCTTCTTCTAGAGAATCTGGACCCAGAAAAGAAGAATGTTAGTGATGTATCAGCCATAGTCAGCACGCTGAATACAGACACTAAAATACTGGGTTGAAAATAGTCAAGGGAACTCACCTGACTCATGATGGTATTCAGGTATCTGTTTAACAGTGGTCACTTGAAGACTTTCGGGAAGAAGACAACTGCACAAGGCACCTGAATTACAACGAAAACATGGACTTTAAGATTTCGAGCAATAAATCATACCCATGTGCGTTTGCACATGTTTCCGAGAATTCCTAATCACCATGAGAAGTAAAGGGCAGCACAGAAACAATACACAGAATATGACACAAGAAGACGAAGACACAAATCACAGCATCTAAATCCAAACCCTCACGGATTGGGTCATGGCTAAGTTAAAGCTATCACAAATGATATGATTTTGCAGTTTTAAGAGACATTCATATGGTCCTCCCTGAACAAAAAGAAACTATTTCATGTGGTAATTACAATCATCTCAAAGATTTATATCACAGACTAAATCAATTCAAAAATCATCCAAGCATAAATGAGTTCCAGCTAACACATACTACTAATTGCTTCTAGATTATGTCCATAGACCATAACACTTGATACTCTAAAAAAAAAGGATCGAACACCAATGAAATAGAGGAGTACTAGAATAGTAAGTAGAAAAGTTCCCTTTACCTAGGCGAGCAAGTCGATTCACCCATCCAGGAACCTGTTTTTCTGTCAACCTACGTGCCATGTCATCTGTGAAATGGTTACAATTCTTGGAGATGAGGTGATAGGTATCCCCATGATACTCTGCCGCAACATGCTCAATAAATGTCCTAAATTCAGAGGGAGGCATATTTATACGGCCAAGTTGAATGGAACATCGATAAATAAAACCTGGGCAGCTCCTTGGTTCCACTTCAAAAACTCCACTAACTGGGAAGTCATGGGCTCCAAAACCGTACTCTTTGCCATGGACTGTTCATACAACAGACAGATGATATCGTTAAACATAATTAATCCTTATTTGCATTTCAAGGAAATGAATGATAATTAAAAGAAGTTACTCATCGGTCAGTGCAATTTCCTGAAAGGACGATTCAAGATTCAGTTTGACTTATAAAACTACTCTCATAAAAGCTTATAATAACATAATATCCAAAGTCAATCAACCAGACCAACACACTGAGAAATCTATCTCTAATATCTACGCACCCCGATAAGCAGCACATTCCAATTCTTCATAACCAAGCATAAAGGAACAAAACAGCTGGCCAATTCATATCACATTGTAAAACTTGATCACCATTGCACCATACGAAATGGTACACAACGGCATCACTCTAGATCCCGGTGTAAAACTTTCAATTCTTCCTACTACACATCTAACTACAGTTGGATGCAAAAGAAGCCAAAGTACTCAAAGACATAATTAGAAATAACTTCACTTTAAATATGCAAGCACATTCATACTTCAAAACTGCAAATAAGAATCAAACAAATCCGAAAACCCGACATCTTTCCTTCTCCATGTAAGTATTGAAAGTACCAATCTTTTTTTTTTCCCTTCTTGAAAAACCAATCTGTAAACACATAAACAATAAGAATAAATGCATATCATCATAATTAAGCATGCCCAGAAAAGGAAACAAACGAATCCAAAAATTAACCAAACAAAAACCAACAAAGAAAACCAAAATGCAAAGATACCCAGATCACCAAAACACATAAAGAAACGAAAAATCAAACAAAAAAGAATCAACTTTCAGGATTTTCAAAAAACAAAAAAGAAAAAGAAAAAGAAAAAAAGATAAGAAAAGGATTCGAAAAGGTTTCAAATTTACCTTCAATTCCGGAGTGAAAGATTCCGAGACCGAACCAGACCGTGTAATTATTGAGGGGGGTGAGGTCGTAAACATTCAACACCACCTGGGTCTCGTAGCCCTTGCTGCTGTTTTCAATCCCGCCGCCGCGTCGAGAGGTGCTCTCCAACCCCATTTCTACCCCCCAATTGTTTTCGAATTTCTATAAAAGGCTCCACAAAGATTTCCAATTTTGCGTTTTTGTTCTTCTTCTCCTCCCCTTCTCAGGCCGTCGGAGAGACAGAGAGAGAATGTTGAATGAGAGGCTTTCAGTTCAGAGATCCGTCTTCCGGCCAGACGAGGCTAAAAATAGAAAGCTTTGGGACTTTTGATGATTAAATTAAAGGAAAATGAAAAAGTTATAATTTCAAAAATGGAAAGACCTCATGGGTATGACAAGCTGGAGAAATTTTTATGTGTGTCGTTTATGCTATTTCTCACGTTTATATTATTAAAATTTTATAGTGCTTCGGATTACTGAAATATTTTAGATGTTTTAATCGTTAGACTTTAATTTTGACCAAAATTTTAACGGTTAAAATTTTTGAAGTATCTCTTACTTAATAGCATAGAAAATCATGTTATAGTAGTAGTAGATGACATAATTGATTATGATTTGCTCCAAAAAAAAATTTCAAATGAAACTGGTTGAGTGCTATTACAACATCATTTGATAATACATATTGTGGATAATATAAATATTATATCATGTTGAATTGAGAAGTCACATGACAAAAAACCATTTACCTTGTTCTATGTCGATCACTGGTATTTTTTTCTTTTAAATTGTATAAATAAAAAGTAAATATACGTTTTAATTTGAATGGTGCTATCTAAACAGTCATTTTGTTTTCGCACATTCTCTTGTTAATTTTTTCATTAATCATCTTTAATTCATTTAAACCAACAATTAAAAATTAAGAAGATATGTGAAAGTAAATTTTACGAAAAAAGAAACACAATTAAATTTGTTTTTGTAAGTTTATTTAATCATAACACTTTTTTTAATTACGTAATAATAAGTCGTGAAAAACATATCAATTTATTTATCTCTTATTTTTACATATAATGAATTTTGTCGTCTAATACATAATTTTCTTTTAACCTTTCTGAAAAAGTCATATTAAAAAAAAGCATTAAAAAAAAGAGTTTTGCGAACCTTTTGGTTGTCGATGTTTGACGGACTGTGAATTTAGAAGAGAACGAAAATTTGGAGCGTTTTCTCGCGAGATGTTTTATTTGCTCAAGGGTAGTCACACGGGGTAATTGAGCAAAAGGGCGGGGCACTTTCGCCTGTCCACGTTGTGGTACAGCAGTAGTAGGACCGTGACCGTGTGACACCATCCTGCACTTCTGCTTTTTTATTTCTTTTAAATTTTTTTAAATTGCTTACGTAAAAGCATTACACACAACCGAACGCAATAATGTTTCAGCATTCATATAAGCGATCCTATTTAGTGAGAAAATGCTTTGTTGTTGTTGTTTATGGAAAGGCACTTCTACCACTCAAAATTTGTAATTAAAAACCTCGATTGAATCGAGTTTAACGTCACATGTTTTGATTTCGATCTGATAAGCAAGTAAATCAGTATTATTATTTGCAAATTTCTTTTTACATGACAATGCATCACAAAATGAGGACGACACAATAATGGTAAACTCAGTCCTCCTAAATTGCTCTCCAATGAAATAGCTGAAAGAAAAATTCCAAATATGCAAGCGTTGCGAAATGAACATATAAATACGTTTCTTCATTATCTGTCGGCATCATATTTATAATCTTGGTTCGTTAACAGAATGTGAAGGAAGAAGTTTTCCGGGCATTTCATTCGTTTTTTCTATTCGAACAGAAGCACTAAATCACATACATTTTCTTTTATCAGAGAGTTTTCGACAATCAGTAAGCTACTGAAAACTGCAGAATTGGAGCAAACTTACTTTTCAAACCCTTTCGGAGAAAGGAGGATGACAAAAAAGAAACAAATTCACTGGCAGCGCAAACGTATGCAATCACGGCTGGTTGTTGTCCGGTGTTGTCCATCGCCGGAGGCGCGCACTGCGTCTCCTCCTAACACCCGAGTCGCCGTCTGAAGACTCGTTATCCTCTTCTAGAGTAGAAGATGCTGCTTCGCCCTCGTAGCTCTCCCCCCAAAGCCTGGTTGCTCTCCTTCTCATACTAACTTGTGCTCTGGTTCTTGTGGTACCAGACCAGCTGCTGCTCCTTGAACTGGACCCGGGTCGAACTACTCTAACTAGAAAGAATATGGTTAGCCAGCCTGCACCGTCATCAGCAGGCAAACTACTGCTATCATCACCCCTATCCTCTCCAACTGAAGATTGGATTGAGCTGAACAAGTCGCCAATATCCCTCTGTCGCTCCAAACTCCTCCAGGTACGCTGTCGCTCTGGATCTGCCTCTGATGGGCACACTAGTGGATGCTCCAGCCTCGCATGCTTCCTGAGATCTGCATATGTTCCGCTATAATTACATGTCTCACAAGAACAATTTCTTGATTTCGCATTCATGAAACAACGAGCAGACTCAACAATAATCCAATCTGTTATCTCCCCACGGCAGAGGGGGCACACTAGCTTCGGATCAGCCTGATGCTCACAAGATACGGCATTCATGGAGGAGAGCACCTCCTCAATTGTACTATCGTTTTGCACTTGAGTAATTGTTGATTCAAGAGTTGCAGATGGAGACGACTGAGTATCTGATATCTGCGCTGCTCCTTCTGGTGGGATAGTTGGTGAGGTTTCTGCTGAAAATGACTTGCAGTACAGGTCTAGACAATTTGAATGGCGGTAGCTCGTGTCACACATGTAAGGGCGGCACCCTTGTTCATATGATGAACATATTAGGAGAACCGCATTGTGTGGATGCTCCAGACAAACGGGGCATCTGGCTTCTTCCCATTCTTTCACATTGTCCTCAGTTTCAGAAGGAATTCTGGGTGACGACCGCCTTGTATGACTGGAGCTGCATGGATAAGGAGATGCTCTATACCTATCAGGAGTCACAGAACGGCCCCTCCTATCCTTAGGCATTTTGAGCTCTCAAAGATGCTTCACGCTCTCCCAAAATGATAGCAGCAGAGCTATTGAAACAAATAAAAGGCCACATCAACATGAGTAATAGAACAACCACCTCATTTACGGATTACAGATGATGTTCAGCTAAAGGCTTAAGCGCATACCAAGAACGGAACAACAACAATTACAAATAAAAAAGATGTCAAATTCAACAAACAGAAAGAAAAAGTCTCAAGTACATTCAAGAAATTAAGCCGACACCACATACGAAGATTCAAGGCATTGTCATTGAAGAAAAAGAAAAGTCACAACACAAAGATGACCACTAAATCAACATACATGTATTTTCACAACCAGAAATCACAACTAACATAGGGATACACCTCCCACAACCGCATAACTACGACAATGGGCATTTTTGTCAGTTATCTTACAGCATCATCCCGGTACTTCTCCTTTAATTAAAAATCATTAGCCTGCTTTTCTCTTTCTTTCCAAAAAATTAAGTAAAGTGTCATAACAAGGACTGAAACTCTGTAAGTTGATTATGTACTTGAAAACGCAGTTGTGAAATGGAACAAATTCATAGGGTTGGTTGGGAACTGCTCTTATAGGATTTCTAGAAGTGCTTTATGAAGAAGCACTTAACAGGTGCTTCTCCAAAAAGCTCTTCTATGATCCATAAGCACTTTTAGTGCTTTTGGCAATTCCAAAAGTAGTCCCAAACATGCTCACAGTTACAATCCAAACCCAGATGAGAGTTTTAGCAATCAGAACCACCCGCCAATCATAAACTATCAGCTCAAACATGAATAATGAAGCAACGAAAACAAAAATCCTTAATTTCCTTATCCAAATCAATCAAACAAATAAAAAGCAACACCAATTTCACAGCTTTACCAAAAAATCAGAAACCCCAAAAAGCTAAAATCCCCAATTTTTCAAATTCCACCATCATTGAGCTGAAAAAACCAGCTCAACTCCACATTTCATCGCTCAAAACACCAAAATCGAACCGAGAAAAACTTGAACCGAAACAAAAATCCGAAAGCATTCAGATCCAGCTACAATCGGAGCTCAAATTAGGTAAAGGATAAGAAAAATCACCAGATAGAAATCGGAAGAAAACAAAATTCCCAACTTGAAAGTCCGATTCAGTTGATTTTGACTCGGCGGAGACGTTAGATTCTAGAGGCCTTGCTGGAGCAGCTGACTGCTCAGAGTCTTTAGAGAGAGAAACGGAGACGAGAGAGAAACGGGGACGAGAGAGACATAGATATGAAGAAGCAGCCTTTCTAGGTAACTGACTCAGCAGCAGCTACCGAGAAGAAAAAAAATGGTGGGGGGCCGAGAGGGTATATATATAACTCGTATACGGACATATATACATACACATCTTTGTACGTATGTACACATTTTCGTCCAATATTGTTGACACAATGTGACATAGTATTATGGATCAGGATCCTCTCCTGAGCAGATGGAGAGGATCCTCCTGACCAGGCCCATCGGGCCGTTCATTATTTATCCAACGACTATAATTATTATAACTTTTAAAAGGTCCCCTGTTTGTAGTCGTTGGATAAAAAATGAACGGCCAGATGGGCTTGGTCAGGAGGATCCTCTCCATCTGCTCAGGAGAAGATCCTGGTCCTAGTATTATAACTCACTTAAATCAAACTATTTCTTGAAATGACTATAAATCATCTTTTTCGTTCATTTACGTTATAACACATGGTAATATATTATTTAATTTGTAAATTTTAGTTTAAAATTTTAGTTTCTTAACATTATCCGTAATAAAATTATTTCACGATGAATTAAATAAGACGTAAGTTTTAAGTTTGACGTGGACGAATATGATTCCCTCAAAATTTTAATGTATTTTTTGTTATTTTGTGGGGATTGTTATACTTCGACGGATAATATTTTCAAAAGAAAAGAAAATAATTAAATAAACGTGACATCTTTTCAGAAGAATATTATTAAGGGCTTAATGATGAGTATAAATAAATATATAAATTGGGCTTGTATGCTTAAAATATGTGCTACCGGCAGCCCATTGACTCCAATCTCTTAATTTAAAGGGAAGATAAGAACATAATTGTATCTGGACGTATACAATGGGTCTCTTGGGAAAGGAAAAATAATTTGAGTAATGTTTTTTCCGTTCCGCTTTAGACGATAATAAAGGGCCCGTGACGTTGCTAAATACGCGGGTTTAAAGGTGACAATAGTACCCAAAAGATTGATCTTTTTGTGCGTTTTATTTTTAAAAAAATGTGGTGTGTTTTTTTTCGTTTTTTCTTTCCTCAACAGAATGGAATAGTAACGGGACGCCTTATTTCG